GTTTGTACCTGCGACATTCCAGCACGGAACTGAATGGTCCTTATTTCCCACTACATTGTTTGAATCACATTTGAGTGTCAGTCACATAGGCACAAAAAGGAAATCCTCATTATCGTCACTATTGCACCAACACAGCACTAGTTATGTCATAGTGATTCATAATATGAAATTAGAAGGAATATTACAATGAACTCTGCTTTAGGATAGACGTTGTATGAATATAAAGCATATTTTGTCGCTTTTATTTACAAGCATCGTTCCCCGTCTAAAAATGGAACGATAAACGATTCACTAGGAAGATTCCCCTTCACTGACACTTCTTGAACATTTTAGCCAGACCCCTGACTTCATTAAAATTTAACATATATGTTACATTTGTGCACAAATTCGCACACTGCAGTTTCTGCTTTATCGATCACTACATTGTCTAATTTGTTTACAGACCGCCGTTGCATGGCGATACTGATTATACCAGTGATATGCACGAGAAATAGTTTTGTCAAATTGCTGCTACTTTTACTTTGGGAAATACGTGTGGCTATTGTTCTGTTGAACAATTTTAAGAAGTAGATACATTTGTACATACACAAATAATATATCATAGATATTAAATATGGTTTGCTATACAGGAAATATCAATTGTCAGTCACTTTGTCACTTGTGATTTTCACCACACAACTTCCTTCCTCTCTTCCACAACACATTGTGTTTACGGCAACAGACGCAATTCTCAGTCGACGGCGAACTTGGGTCTGGTAGGGTCCGGTATAACTTCAGTGGCAACTAAGTGTCCATCCACAGAGGAATACGTGATCATGTCTATACAGGAATCAGGTGATGACCCTCCCCAGGACAAAGGTAAGATGGATCCGCGGGTCTCTATCCTATCTTAGGTATCAACAATGTCGTTAAATTATTGTGAGATATGTATATCCATACCAGACTCATATATCCTGATGATTTATCGCGCCTGAAAGGAAAAAGGAAATCTGAAATAGGAAATAAATCGGTACTGCTCCAGCTAAAGATAAAAACAGGATGTTGGATGACAATCGTATAACAATGAACTGTGTTGACGTCTCTTCATCTTCGTATTCTTCTTCGTCTTCTTCGTATGAGATAACCCATCCCCCCGGACAACGGTAAGATGGAGATACCTTAACTCCGGCTGCTACAATGTCCATAAAACTCGTTGGGCTATGTATCCACATGACAGGCTATATATCCTCATGACTCAACCCACACTTGTATCCATGGTGACTTGATTTGTTGTTTAACGCCGCATTCAGTAACACCTCAGCTGTATGGCGGCTGTCTGTAAATAATCGAATCTGGATCACACAATTCAGTGATTAGCATCATGAAGATCGACCTTCGCAATTGGGATACGATGACAGGTGTCAACCAAGTCAGATATCCTGACCACCCGATCCCGTTAGTCGCCTCTTACGACAAGCATGGGTTACTGAAGATCAATTCTAACCCGGATCTTCACGGGTCACCTGAAAGGGAAAGGGAAGATCCCGATTACTCTTAATAAAAGCAGAAGTGTGCCGACTGTCAAACTGATGACAGTGGACTGTGAAGAAGCTCCTTCCACCCTGAAATTATTTGTCCACTTTCAACCTCCCCAAATTCAATTACAATAATTTTTTAATTAAAAAACCCCAGTGTCTCAACTAAATAGAGCTTTTTACATGTCTAAACATTGCTTTATTGTATTATTAATACTACCCGCTTGATCTGAGAGTGAGAGGTGGTAGTGGTGGTGATAGTAGTAGTGGTAGTGGTAGTGGTAGTATCAGTGTAACCTAGACGCAGATTTTCACTGTTATTTGAGTTTCAGTAGATACTCGATACTGATTAATCTCTGGCGTTGATGTTCTATATTTAACCATGACGTAACATGTCCATATATACCCATCCGTTTATAAATTAAACGCTTCCATGTAAACATCCCGTTATTCAGCCTCTTCAAGGAAGTTATTTGCATATTTGTACCACAAAACAGAATGCAGAATGTCTAACCACAACCGGACATAACATGTCCTCAAAGCAGTTCTCCATCTTGTGCACGTGAATTTCATCATTTCTTAAAGTCATTATTTTAGCTCTCCGGGATATTATTACATGAAACGATTTAACTTTGTCAAACGTATTTAAATATATACGCGCTCTATGTTCTATAACACAAAAAGATATGAAAATTAATGTTTTTCCAAATCCATTTCATATAAAATAATATGAATATTAATATCATAGTAGCATGTTTGTGTTTGTCATTCACCATAATTAGTAATTTTGTACGTAGTTGGGAATATTCTCTAAAACATGCTGTTGTTCCATCATGGGAGACTTTGATAAGTATGCAGTATGGTTTTGAACAATGTGAACGATGCGAAAACGGCTAACGAGCATCATAATGTTGTGTGACATATTGATTTGAGCATTATCCGTTATATGTTTGCACCAATAGATATAGGAAGGAAGTATTTTGTTCCAAGCTTCTTAACACAACCGTGTTACGATGATACAACGGATACATGTATACCATGTTATGTTATTGAGTACATTCCAAGTTTTTTACTCGGGCTTAACCGTCCGGAATATCAAGGTTTCACTGTTGACATTAAGCATCCGTCTATGTATTATCTCTCCCAGGCCTAAGTAAATAAGTTCAAAACACAATCCAACTTAAGTCTAGAATGATCTGGCAAATCTACCTCGACACAACCTCAAAGTAATCATTGTGATCTGGGGTATATTTAAATAATTTCAGTTTATATTTTGCTTTAATGAGGCAACTCTGTTTCTGAAACTAAATTAAATTTTACTTTACCCCCCTCTACAAAATACAGATAATTTCAAGTCTTCAATCTCAGATATTTTACTCCAAAACTGACCTTATTGTGCAGTTACCACAGTTGTGGGGCAAAACATCCATGCTACAATTTGGGTAATTCATTTCAGGGTTTCTTGCCTCTGCCATTTCGACAAATACTGACCAGGTGCCCGTGGTCACATCACCGTGCTACATCAAGCACAGGGATACAGCTGTCCTAGTTCTAGTCTGTGCTGTCTGCGTTGTTGGTTCTGCGGCGACCGTGGTTGCCTACAGACAATGCATACAGAATACGCGGCGTCAACATCTTTATGACTCATCTGTGCCAGCGAGACTTGACGAGGCTTTGAGGTATCCCACTCAGGAGTCGGGAGATGACAACTAAACAGCTACCTGACCAAATGGAGGCTTCAAACTGTTCTGCTTTACATAATTATTAACATTTGATTACGATGATTCATGTATGTATGTATGTATGTATGTATGTATGTATGTATGTATGTATGTATGTATGTATGTATGTATGTATGTATGTATGTATGTATGTATGTATGTATGTACAATTTTTTACCAGTTTTATTCATTTTCTGATGTAACATGGTCCTTTGCACACAATTATGTACGTGTATTGAACTACTGACCTGAATAAATTATCAACCTATGTTTTGTAACGGCTCAATGGTAATAGTTGAAAGAGTTTTCTTTTCAATCTCTAGATCCGCCTCTGTGAATCTTCAGAGATAATCATATCTTTGTCACCTACTGAGTAAACACACTGCGATTTTATACTTACTCCTGTACAGATCGGTGTGAGATTTCCGTGGCTAAGAGGCAGAGCTTCCAAGCCATTTGATGGTGTTAGTCACTGGATTGTCTGATCCAGGCACGACCATCTACAGACTGCCGTGACACAGGAAACATATTCTACCAGTCCACCAGGTATTAGTGGCATCCGAGTCAACATTATTCTTGATACACGGTGTGAGTAACGATCCACGACATCGGCGCAACAACATCGGCGCACGCTGACACAACGATATCGGGGCACGCAAATACATTTCAGCCGAGTCCCAGAGATAAACAATTTTGTCTGTTAGAGGCAACTGTGGGGACCTTTTTTAATCTGAACCACATCGGGGTGTCCAGAAGGAAAACCGAATTTAATATGTGTTTGAATGACACAGGTATATTGTTAATACAAGTTTGCTGAGTTAATGCAAGTTTGACGAGGTACAATGAATCTGAATGAGTATATTGCTGAACAATTTTGTATTACTTCCTAAACTTCGCGTCGTCGGAGACGTTTATCAATATCATAGATTACTCATACAAGGTACTCTCAATGATCATGAATGCATTTATATTTATTCTGAGCAAGGGGACAGTTTGCAGACGCGGAAGCCGAAAGCGTGATCGCTGGTCGAGCGATAAGAACAGTATCTCCTGTTGATAGACTATTCACTTGTAACCATGTGTACCACTGCAAAAACACCTAGTAATTTTTTTGTGGTATGTCATGAAAGATTAACTTTCACTGCCAAGACATCCAGTTGTTATTGCAGTAGAAGCAGCAGCATATATTTATGATTATGTGAAATAATATGCAAATCGCACTGAAGAGCTTTAGATAGACTGCTCAGATCTACAATTTGCGCGTTTGCGTACAGTCAAGAGAAAGCTGATGTCAAGTGATATTGCATATTAGCTTATCACAGTGATGTTGTTGTGTTTCATCACGTAACGATCACAGACCCTCGTGTCTTTGCGAGGATTAAAGATTTATAATATATATAAAAATATGTATACTGTATCCTATACAGTCAAGATCTTACCCTGAACAACATTATTTTCCCTACTGCCAAGCCTTATCTGCAATGCTAAAGCCCTAAATAAAGCAAGTCTAGATTTCCTCAGGTTCAGGTTCTGAATCTCTGGTCTCTCTAGGGCTCCTTTTCAATATATATGGGCTTGTTTGTTACTATCAAAATTATATATATTCAGAGACTAAGCCTTAGTCTAGGTCATGTCTTGACTGTATAGGACCGCATCACGGCTCTCGGTTTTGTGGCACCCAGCCAGGAAACAATTGTGAGGGAGTGGCTTTGGGCTTTGTCATTCAAATACCAATGACCCGCTGGTCACGTGCCACCCATGCGCCATACCAGACAGCCTTGTAGTTCTGCGAGACGCTGACAGTGAGTGTTGATGATTCTATCAGTCGTACTTCAGATTATCAAAGGTAAGTGATCTCTTTCAAATAGCATTAAATGAGTAACATCCACGGTTATACTTGCAAGGATGATGAGTTTCACAGCTTTTTGTATATCTACAAAATATATAAATCACCCGTTGTATGATGAATAAAGTGCAGGCTGCTCCTAGCAGCACAGCTTACAACAAAGTGTTGGTGCTGAGAACTGACAGTAATAAAGAGTGACAACAAAATAATGTCCGAAACTAAAGTAGCCAGTATACAAGTCTAACAATCACCCTTGTGCTACCACACCCATCGATGAGTTTGCATGTAAACCTGTTTTCAAGCTATCAATGCACTGTAATCGATTCATCAGTTTTATAAGTGTAGGTAATGCTTCGGCCCTATTCAAACACGTGGGTATACCCAGTGTGTAGACATTACAGATCATTGATATATAATTGTTTCCTTTCCGATAATTACAGATGACTGATCTTCTACCAGCTCCCATAACAGACCTCCTTTCATGGCGTCTGGCTGCTATTGTTATGCCTGTTCTCATTATCGTCGCCTCCATTTGCGGGGCAGTTGCTCTCTCCAAGGAGATGATTGACGCCTTTGGTGTGGTGTGTCACATTATGGGCAATGTGATACAAAAACTTAAGAAGATCGTGATTCTCAAACTGCGTTGGACTGTATGTGAAACCAAACAGGCAGGAAACAACTGAGCGAGGACGCGACAGACAATTACGGTACGCAACCAAAGCATCAGTGCAGTTCACACAGGAGCTGAGATTACACAATGTTATTTAGAACGTGGTCCGTTGTAGCATATGTAATGTTTGGGATTTTATTGTTATTCGACCACGGGAATTGTGCCAATTTACGCTTGTCAGGTTGGTACAGAAAGTACATGAACTAGACTACTAGTTGTCAGACGTCTATTATTGTGGAAGCTGCACTGGCTGAGTGGGTTAGATCGCTGACTTTGTGCCCTGGTGTTTAGGTGCTTCACTCTGTGTGGTTTCGAATCCCGGGTGGGTCTGCCTCATTTTTCGTGTATGTAATGATCAACAATTTAAATGTGACGTTTAAATTACCCAATGGTCATACACTGTTCAAGGTTGATTTGGGAATATTTCTTATGTTCCAGATACACTGGAGGGGAGCCGATGATCAATGGTTGCAGCAGTAACAGTGATGGATACATGGGGAACATGCATATATTAATATGATGCATTACATTTCTGCTGGACATTTTGTGTGAATGTGTGTCTTGTCAGATTTTTGTTACTGTGTCTTGAGATAACTATCACCCTTCTTTGTGGTATATTTTGACTGAACTCACACAATAACATAAGAAATAAAGCATATGGAAATCTTCAAATTGACTAGTCTCTTCAGTATGTTTGCTATTGACAATGCGTGTTCATAGATTTCAGTAGACGTGTCAGGGTGCCGAACAGTTGGATCGAACCCGTCAAAATATGGGACACACAAATTCAACCTCGTCACAGTAAGGGACACACAATCTGAACCACGTCACAATAAAGGACGTGTAATCTGAACTAAGTCACAATAAAGGACATGCAATTTGAACCACGTCACAATAAGGGACACACAATCTGCACCACGTCACAATAAGGGACACACAATCTGAACTAAGTCACAATCAGGGACACACAATCTGAACCACGTGACAATAAGGGACACACAATCTGAGCCACGTCAAAATAAAGGACATGCAATCTGAACTAAGTCAGAATAAAGGAAACACAACCTGCACCACGTCACAATAAGGGACATGCAATCTCAACTAAGTCACAATAAGGGACACACAATCTGAACCACGTCAAAATAAAGGACATGCAATTTTAACCACGTCACAATAAGGAACACACAATCTGAACCACGTCACAATAAGGGACATGCAATCTGAACTAAGTCACCATAAGGGACACACAATCTGAACTACGTCACAATAAGTGACATGCAATCTGAACTAAGTCACAATAAGGGACACACCATCTGCATCACGTCACAAAAAGGGACACACAATCTGAACTAAGTCACAATAAGGGAAATGCAATCTGAACCACGTCACAAAAGGGACATGCGATTTGAACCACGTCAAAGTAAGGGGCACAGAATGAAGTCAGAATAAAGGAAACACAATCTGCACCACGTCACAATAAAGGACGTGTAATCTGAACCACGTCACAATAAAGGACATGCAATTCTGAACCACGTCACAATAAGGGACACGCAATCTGCACCACGTCACAATAAGGGACACACAATCTGAACGAAGTCACAATAAGGGACACACCATCTGCACCACGTCACAAAAAGGGACACACAATCTGAACCACGTCACAATAAGGGAAATGCAATCTGAACCACGTCACAAAAGGGACATGCGATCTGAACCACATCGATCACAGTCTCACCACATCACAATACAATAAGGGCACACAAGCTCAGCCTCGTCACAATAAGGGGCACACAATCTGCGAGACGTCACAATGTGGGATACACAATCTCAACCTCGTCACAATAAGGGTCAAGGAAGCTGAAACAATATCAGTCTTTTCACAATAGGGGACACACAATCTGAAAATGGTCTCAATAAGGGACACGCAATCCCAGCCTCGCCACAATAAGGGGGACAGAATTTCAGCCTCGCCACAATAGGGCTGACAGAAACTCAGCCTCGCCACAATATGGGTGAAAGAATCTCAGCCGCGTCTCAATAAGGGTGACAGAATATCAACCTCGCCACAGTAAGGGACACGCAATCTGAACTTCGTCACAATAACGAACATGCAATCTCTACCACGCCACAATAAGGGTCACACAATCTAAGCCTCGTCACAATAACGGACACACAATCTCAGCCTCGACTCAATATGTGTTACAGAAACTCAGATTCGCCACAATAAGGGACACACAATCTGAACTTCGCCACAATGACGAAGACAGAATCTAAACCTCGTCACAATAAGGGGCGCACGATCTCGCCACAAAAAGAGAAACACAATCTAACTTCTCCACAAAAAGGGATACACCATCTGGTTTTCGTATCAATAAGAGTCACACAATCTCAACCTCGGAGATTTCCAAAATGTTTGCGAGCCTGTGATGACAAAATATATATACACAAATGGTTACCTGCCCCTGAATAGGTAGATACGGCGACGACATCGCGGGAGATAAAAATACGAAAAAAGAGAAATTGTCGGCCATTAAAGTGCTTTGTAACAAGATGGCTTATAGTTTTTATCAGATAGGCATCCAGTTTTTCAGCTGTAATGGTTAAACACAATAGAACGATACTGTCTCAAAAAGACCAAATGCAAGGCCCTGGACACTACCCAACACAAAGTCCTGGACACTACCCAACACAAAGCCCTGCACACTACTCAACACAAGGCCCTGCACACTACCCAATACAAGGCCCTGCACACTACCCAACACAAGGCCCTGCACACTACCCAACACAAGGCCCTGCACACTACCCAACACAAGGCCCTGCACACTACCCAACACAAGGCCCTGCACACTACCCAACACAAGGCCCTGGCCCAATATGCCTTTCTAAGGCTTTAATGTCGATGACAGGTGGACGTGTTTATTAAGGGTGTAAATAATCTTAGCAATGTGAAAGCACATTTACAACCAAACACCAGGTATCGTTACCAGCTATTTCACAGTGATTCATCAACACATGCTTATAACAACGTCTGAAGTGTACAATGGACTCTGTTTTCCGCAGAGGTTTCTTATTGAATCTGTGTGTGGATGTTATTTACAGGTAGCGTAAGCACCATGCTGAATATCATTATTTGATTGTTATTGTTGTTTTTGAACGATACCCTAAGGTGACGAGGTTACAGCGATTAAACATTCATCAAATATCTAATTTTTGCGGAAGGTAACTTAAAGTGTCAATTAATTTCGGAGAATACACAATAATAACGACAACGGCGCTGTATCGAGCTGCGAAGATAATAATACCACCTAGTTTTTGTTGGGATGACAATGCGAAACCGCAATAGCGCACCTGTTGTTCAGTACGAGAACCACTCTGAATCTAACCGACGTCCGTGTGCAGCGTGTATGTACCTGACTGAAATCTCGGAGAACTTTAAACGCTTCATTATCCCTTTTATTCTGTGTTGTCAGTCCCTAACCATCAAAAGTCCTAGGGTAAGCTATCTCTTTCACACAGCATTTAATACAAGAGTACTTGCACATATATTCATGACTTTTATAAGGTTTGTCGTGTAAATATTTGAAACCTATGAAGAGGCTGCACAATGATATATTGAGGAAGCATCAATATTTGCACCAGACATATATTTGCACAATTGCACTCTGGTTAAAGAAAGAACAATTAATTGATGTGATAGTTAAATACTCTTCGTGCACTGAACGCTGTTTAGACTCACAAATCATGACACGGATTCAAGTCGATCAGAATGGAAAACTCAGTGTTATATAGTCATACTTATTTAACACGCTGTGACGGTCGTGTATTTCCGAATAAAGGAATGGGCGAGGTAACATTAATACTGTTTTCTTTCAGAGAGTTAACAGGTTAATCTTCCGCCGTCACCCGTGATGGATTTCCTTTCATGGCGTCTGACTGCTATTGTACTGTCTGTTCTCATTATCGTCACCTCCGTTGTCGCTGCAGTTGCTCTGTTCATGGAGGACGTGGTCGAAGCCTTTGGTGTGGTCACGGGTGTAACCACAAGCTTTACACGGAATATGATCAACAGGTTTAAGATCGTGATTAACATTCAGCGTGCGGGAGCGGACCGCGAAGTTCAGTTGCCATGGTGTTAGGAGCTCTTTAGTGTAGCCTGAATCCGATCACCGATTCTACAAGTGATAAATTTAAAAAGATTAAAATCTTGACTGTACACACGTGTTGGTTATTTGCTGTATGTGTCAGTAATTTTCTTTGAGGGACAGATAATGCGTAAACTTGAGTAAGTTGTTTTCACTCATATTTTATGATAGAATATTGTTGTATGTTCTTTATCACCGTGAAAACACCAAAACCAGTGTTCAAAGTTAAATGGATTCAAAATACGGCGATGTCAAACAACTCTTATGAAACCTGTGTCTCACAAGTCTTTGGACACATAATACCTTTTGAAAGTGGAAATGAAAGTCTTTGTCGACGTGAAAACGGGGAGCGTGGCAACAAGGCAAAGTGATAATAAGTTCTCAGCCTAAAAATGAATTCAAAAATAAAATATGCAAAACCCTTTCCACATCCATAAGGAATCACGCTAGATTCTATTCTACGATTCTGACTGTATCATGAACATGTGTTTGTTTGTTTGTTTGTTTGTTTGTTTGTTGAACTCCGCACTCAGAAATATTCCAGCTGTATGGCGGCCGTCTGTAAATACTCGACACTGCACAATCCAGAGATTGACATCATGATACATCATGATAGAGCAGGAGTTTATGAATCACTATCAAATAGTGATGACACCAGGTGTTCACGAGACGGTGAAGGTATCCGGCTCCACAACAAGCACCCGTCATTAACATAAGGCAAGTCAGATGTTTATCTGAATCGATTCGGTAACACATGGCACAAGTCAAAATAAAGAATTGCATCGGACATAATATTTGTCACTGGTGCATTAGTTTTTGAAATGTCCTCCACAAGTCTACCATAAAACGTTTTGAAAGCTTCACTGAGGGCTTGAATATTGTTACCTTGATCGAGCAGCTTCTGAACAAGAGTCGTGTGAAATCTTGGTGAAAACAGCATGCTCAATTATACCTCAGAAGTTGGGGAATGTGAACAACAAAGGTTGGAGATGTTGGATTATTGCTTAGCATGGAGGGAAAGATGACTATTGAAAGTTGAAATCATCCCTTTTGTCATACAGAGCATTTTTGTCACTCTGAATCTTTATTCATAGATGTAAATATGAAACAGATACTTGTTTCCTATATTTCAAGGTCAGGTTGGTAAATCAGTAGAACGTGCAAATTGATGTTTATTGGACGATATTAGATCACCGATTTTACCTGAAGATTAAAGTAAAAATCCTTGTTTTGATTTTTCGTGCTTATCCGAGCAGAAGTTCATATTCATAAAGATCCACGTCCACAAGGAGGTGAGCGCAACTGGTGACCATGGGAATGCCTACTCCTTGTCTAAATGTTTTTACCCTAAAGATTTTACATAGACGGTGAGAAGGGATAAGTCGAGCATTTTACATACTGTTTTCTCAGTATACTCCAAATGATATTGGCTTTCATTCTTGACAAACTGTCCTGAACCTCTGAAGACAGATACGTCAGTATATGATTGTTCACCATGTTTATTAACAAATGCCTGTGGCCAAGGAAGGA